AGAGGACACAACTAGAAATCATTGGTTAAGTTGTATTTACAACACAGTTCCAGAACTGTTCGACCCAAATATTCAGATGTGTGCAACGCTTTTTACGGAGGACGAAGGCTGTGTCCTGGGAGAGTAGCCTACAATGCCGGTGTTCCGGTGAATTCAGTTCCCCTGTTTCCCCTTCGGTGCGCATGCTGACCCTATACACTCTTTGATGCTGACAAATAATGCTGACTCACAGCATGTAAGTACGTTTTCATATTTAAAGGAGTTTTGAGCAGTGTAGAAGTAGCGCTTGTTGTTTGTCGTTTCTCCGATCACAAATGCAGACATGGTTTTATGTTTATGCGGCATGATGCAACGCATAAAAAGACAGTATAAGTCATTATAATCAGTAACTATGTCCCCACTGGATGCAACAAATGCCTCGTTTATAATGGGTTTTATTGGTTTTGTCTCATCGCGCCGGGACACAGCATCGCAATATGGTAAGGGGCTTAACATTTCGGTCACACGCTTGAGGAATTCGGCCAATCACAACGCACTAGATAGCTGGCCAATCAGAGCACACCTCGCTTTTCAGACCAATGAGCTTTGTAAAAATCAACGCATTTCAGAAAGGCGGGGCATAGAGGACAAACAATAATGTACAGTATGTGGAAAATAATGTGTTTTTTAACCTTAAACCACATAAACACATTTCATTACACCAAATACACAAAATAATGTTCTTTTTAGCAACATCATATGACCCCTTTAATTAATCATGATTCACGTTACCACAAACATAACTTTTTATCATTACAACGGAGGTTTTACAACATCATTCAACATCATTCAAATAACACCAACAAAGCTTTAAAAATGCCAGAGAGGACGTAAATACAATGCAAGCGGCCTAGAAAGACAACTAATGAGCCATGACACAGTAACATTCATTCACGCTAGATGCCACAACATAAAAGCACCTGTAATTAGAAGCATGTATGTCGGCCCACAGATGACCTGTACGTAAGTCTTAAAACCGCAGTGTTAGAGTTACATTCGGACACCTGTCACATATGAAACCAATTTTGTGACAATCGTCATGTTGTGTTTTTTTTTGTGTTGGCTGGTTTCGCATGTGAAAACGTTGAGGCTTTTGAACAAGTTACAACTCATACACACATTCCCACTCTTTTTTCCATTTCTTTCTGTTTCTCACTAATATACAGTATATGAACAAGCTACAATTAAAAATGTACACTACTGTTCAAAAACCGGGGGCAGTTTTTTTAAGTTTTAAAGTTTGCTCACCAAAGCTGCATTTATTTGATCAAAAACACAGTAAAAACAGTGAGAATGTGAAATATTGTTACAATTTAAAATAACTGTTTTGTATTTGAATACATTTAAAAAAATGTAATTTATTCCTGTGATGCAAAGCTGAATTTTCAGCATAATTACTCCAGTCTTCAGTGTCACATGATCCTTCAGAAATCATTCTAATATGCTGATCGGCTGCTCAAGAAACATTTATTGTAGAAACTTAATTTGCTGTAAAGTTGCTTTGCAACGATTTGTATCATGAAAAGCGCTATTCAAATAAACTTGAATTGAATATATACAAGCATGCTTTTCAATACCAATACCAAAAAAGTATGTTATAAGATTTAATTGCTAAAATAAAAACTTACAAATATATTATACAGTGTTACATTATATAATACTCTAACATTTTCCAGATGTGAAACCATTAGTGGATAATGTTATTATATGCCTTACATATTCAAATACGTTTAGGCTACTGTATGCACACAAATGCAAACAAATCAAAACTAAATATCAGACCTTACAGATACTGTCATCAAAAGTCAAAGCAGATCAGTCACGAATCATGCAGCTCAAAATTTAACAGCATTCCTTCTGAGACAGAACAGTGTTGAAATGCACACATGTGTGTATGTGCATGAAACGTGATTTTTATGTTGAAACATGCAAATGACTTTTATGTCAGCTTCCAAGCATTTTTTAGTTTATCGTTTTTTTCAATCTTTCCCCATTAGTATAATCGGCATGTGCTTGTTTGCTACAGAAATTCCAAAGTTACACTGTCATACCGTAAGTTTTATAGCATGCTCATCATAAAGGAAGAAATTACACCAAAAGAGACACTTTCTATATAGTAAGCAGTATAATACAGTAAAATAACAGTTCCACAAAATGCATAAGATGCAAAACAGACATATCCAATTACCTTTGGATATCCTCGTTCTCTCACTATTGTCCCTCTGACCTGCACCAATACAGTCAGACCAAACAAGCATGAACTCTACTCTCTGGAGCACAAACACTCATTATAACAAACCTCTGACAGCTCACAGGAAGCTAGAACCAGTAATACCAGAAGTAGGGAGGTGACTCCAGGGCTAAACAAACACAGAGGCATGGCAAGTCAACGGGAAGCGTGTGGCTACCTATCCTGTTTCTAGAAAACCCATTTCAAAAGAATACCATTGAATCACGATAAGCTATAGTGGCTTACATAATAGGGAAGCATCTGGACTACAAGTCCATTTAATTCAGTCGGACATGACCAATGTGAACTTATACAAAGACATTAATGTCTCTCTTCATCTTATAATGGAGTTAATGTTTTAAATGTCGGGATAGGAGACCAAATATCCCAGTTTCATGAGGTGTGTCCCATTATCCAGTCAATTCGCTAAATCCATTCATTATTAAACATTTTCCAGATGTTAGACTACTACTCGTTGTCCTTGTAAATATAATATTATTGCAGAGAACACAGCAAAGTAATACATGAAAATAAATTAATAATACATGAAAGTTACATGAAATAGCAGAAATATTTAACTTAAAATGTTTAATTAAACTTTAGTTAAAAAAATATTAAAAGCAATTAATAAATAATAATATATTAAAATAATTTATTATATATATTATTATATATTAATTTTTCTTATTATATTGGGAAATAGTTGCTATAAGTTAAAATAATTGTGCAATTTATGCCTAACATAAGAAAAAAAAAAAACATAAATAAAGATGGACACTAGAACCTGCGCTACTCACATGAGCACCACAGCAGAATGCGTCTTAAGCATATGAATGGAAAAAAAATGCAGATGCCAACATGTTTGAGTGCCATTTATTCATACTCATAAACCATGAACAAAACAATGCCAGATAACAAAAGACATGAACCATGATCTTACAGTAAATACGGGTTCACTTGAATGATAAACACAGCTTGTGACTATCACAGTGTGTTTTGTGTTGAATTACTGGCTGCTGAGAGTCAACAGATATTACAAAATTTAGAAGCCATTTACGAATGCATTTATACAATTTTTATTCAGTCTATGTAATTGCAATTTAATAAATACATTAATTTTAAAAAATCCTATATTATAATTGAAAATAGTGTTAATAGTGTTCATCATCTGTTTGATTACGTCTTTAATTGATTACGTCTTTAATTGATTACGTCTTTAATTGATTTTTCCGTACATTTCTGCTATACGTACATTAACTGACAGTCACCACTGATAAGCTACCACTAAATATTGTAGAAACTTAATTTGCTGTAAAGTTGCTTTGCAACGATTTGTATCATGAAAAGCGCTATTCAAATAAACTTGAATTGAATATATACAAGCATGCTTTTCAATACCAATACCCAAAAAGTATGTTATAAGATTTAATTGCTAAAATAAAAACTTACAAATATATTATACAGTGTTACATTATATAATACTCTAACATTTTCCAGATGTGAAACCATTAGTGGATAATGTTATTATATGCCTTACATATTCAAATACGTTTAGGCTACTGTATGCACACAAATGCAAACAAATCAAAACTAAATATCAGACCTTACAGATACTGTCATCAAAAGTCAAAGCAGATCAGTCACGAATCATGCAGCTCAAAATTTAACAGCATTCCTTCTGAGACAGAACAGTGTTGAAATGCACACATGTGTGTATGTGCATGAAACGTGATTTTTATGTTGAAACATGCAAATGACTTTTATGTCAGCTTCCAAGCATTTTTTAGTTTATCGTTTTTTTCAATCTTTCCCCATTAGTATAATCGGCATGTGCTTGTTTGCTACAGAAATTCCAAAGTTACACTGTCATACCGTAAGTTTTATAGCATGCTCATCATAAAGGAAGAAATTACACCAAAAGAGACACTTTCTATATAGTAAGCAGTATAATACAGTAAAATAACAGTTCCACAAAATGCATAAGATGCAAAACAGACATATCCAATTACCTTTGGATATCCTCGTTCTCTCACTATTGTCCCTCTGACCTGCACCAATACAGTCAGACCAAACAAGCATGAACTCTACTCTCTGGAGCACAAACACTCATTATAACAAACCTCTGACAGCTCACAGGAAGCTAGAACCAGTAATACCAGAAGTAGGGAGGTGACTCCAGGGCTAAACAAACACAGAGGCATGGCAAGTCAACGGGAAGCGTGTGGCTACCTATCCTGTTTCTAGAAAACCCATTTCAAAAGAATACCATTGAATCACGATAAGCTATAGTGGCTTACATAATAGGGAAGCATCTGGACTACAAGTCCATTTAATTCAGTCGGACATGACCAATGTGAACTTATACAAAGACATTAATGTCTCTCTTCATCTTATAATGGAGTTAATGTTTTAAATGTCGGGATAGGAGACCAAATATCCCAGTTTCATGAGGTGTGTCCCATTATCCAGTCAATTCGCTAAATCCATTCATTATTAAACATTTTCCAGATGTTAGACTACTACTCGTTGTCCTTGTAAATATAATATTATTGCAGAGAACACAGCAAAGTAATACATGAAAATAAATTAATAATACATGAAAGTTACATGAAATAGCAGAAATATTTAACTTAAAATGTTTAATTAAACTTTAGTTAAAAAAATATTAAAAGCAATTAATAAATAATAATATATTAAAATAATTTATTATATATATTATTATATATTAATTTTTCTTATTATATTGGGAAATAGTTGTTATAAGTTAAAATAATTGTGCAATTTATGCCTAACATAAGAAAGAAAAAAAACATAAATAAAGATGGACACTAGAACCTGCGCTACTCACATGAGCACCACAGCAGAATGCGTCTTAAGCATATGAATGGAAAAAAAATGCAGATGCCAACATGTTTGAGTGCCATTTATTCATACTCATAAACCATGAACAAAACAATGCCAGATAACAAAAGACATGAACCATGATCTTACAGTAAATACGGGTTCACTTGAATGATAAACACAGCTTGTGACTATCACAGTGTGTTTTGTGTTGAATTACTGGCTGCTGAGAGTCAACAGATATTACAAAATTTAGAAGCCATTTACGAATGCATTTATACAAGTTTTATTCAGTCTATGTAATTGCAATTTAATAAATACATTAATTTAAAAAAATCCTATATTATAATTGAAAATAGATATTGAATTAAAATGCAATCGAATGAATTAATAAATCATCAAATAAAAAATATAAATGTAATAATCATATATAACACTATTTAGTAAATAAAAAAAAAAGTCTGTTTCATTTAAAGGCCTTTTTCTACAAAAACTTATTCTAAATACCATGTGTTGTTCTCCAATTCATGTCCAATTTAAATTTGGATACTAAAGCAAAGCCTTTTGAAAACCTCTACATCACAGTTCCAACAGCACAATTAAAACTGCCTGTAATGGTCTGTATTACATTGCTAGTTCATGTGTTATTTCTCCCGAATGGCCAGACCTGCAGCCATTCCATCTATCCATTCACATATAATTTCGTCAGCACAGAATTTTTAATGCTAACTGCAAAATTTTGTAAAATGCATCAAGCGTTTCTATCAGCAAGCAGTCCTTTAGGATGACAGGATGGAGAGAGATGATGGGGGTGAGAAAGAGGGAGAGAGGACGGGAAGGAGCTCTTAATCTGTGCCTCACAGCAACGCAGTGAAAGTTTGGAAGTATCTGGGACAGACAGGAAGAGAGTGACGGAACCTCCCATTCATCTCGTTACCATTCAGAAGCATCCTGGGCTGTCAGCACTCCTGCACAGCACCTTGTCTGCTTTAATCATTTTAATAACACCCAGCCAGAGAAGAGAAGACTCTCTTACGCAACTACTGCCACATTTCCATACTATTGTACGCAAGTCCACATTAAGATGTAGAGATACTGTAATCTCAGTCTTGGAAGAGGAAAAAAAGACTAAAAATTAGATACTACCCTGAGGCAGGGCAAAGCTTAGTCTGATTAAATTATGTTAGTTTATGAAATGTGTGGTAATATAAAACCCTTACTGCAAAATACATGTAATTAATTTATATTATAGTCCTTTCCCAAATGCACAAAACTAAGGTTAGCTTTAAGAGATTTAGAAGGACAATTTAAAGGAATAGTTCACCCCAACCTTTTAACTTCAAAACATTGCTTCTGGACAAAATATGAGTCCACAATACATAATAATGCTTCATACAGTGAAAAGTCCATGCACTGTTATCCTCTCACATCAAAATCCACCAACATATTTGTTTAGAACTGATTTAGACTGTTTTTGCTTTTAAATTGTGCTTGATTTGTGCATACTTCTCTCCTGATTGAGATTACTTTTTCATTGGAGAAAGCAGTATTATGTATGGACGTGTTTCTTACAAATACAGCTTTTCGACTTCACAAGATTACTGGTGGATTATTGTGATGTTTTTATCAGCTGTTTGGGCTCTCATTCTGACGGCACCCATTCACTGCAGAGCATCCATTGGTAAACAAGTGATGCAATGCTAAATTTCTCCAAATCTGTTCCCATGAAGAAACAAACTCATCTTGATTGAGATTACTTTTTCATTGGAGAAAGCAGTATTATGTATGGACGTGTTTCTTACAAATACAGCTTTTCGACTTCACAAGATTACTTGTGGATTATTGTGATGTTTTTATCAGCTGTTTGGGCTCTCATTCTGACGGCACCCATTCACTGCAGAGCATCCATTGGTAAACAAGTGATGCAATGCTAAATTTCTCCAAATCTGTTCCCATGAAGAAACAAACTCATCTACATTTTGGCCTAAGAGTGAGTCAATTTTCATCAAATTTTCATTTTTGGGTGAACTATCCTTTTAAAATCAACAACAACAACTTAATTTATGACATAAATACGAATATATTAATGACAAGCACTTTTCACGTTCCTGAGGATACATTCACTACAAGGTGGAAGTCGTCCAGATATAATATTTTACAATCTGATTTGGCCTATTTTCAAATATAATTAGTATCAGATTTAGTGATATGCAACATCATCAGATTAAATATGTAAATAAATAAACAGAAGAAGACTACTGTTTTCATTTAGTTCCTGTAGCTTCTAAAAAAAAAATAAGTATGTGAAGACATCACAAGAAAGGAACTTTAATTAATAATGGTCCAGATACTTTGATTTGATGATAAACACACGTTACTTAGAGACAAGAATGCAAACTGTGAAAGCAGAAATATCAGATCTGGCTTGAGGTTATGAAACCTGACTCTTTAAAAGAAACTCTTAGTTTTATTTCTTCATTTGATGGGTCTGCACTGTCTGTGTACACAAAACAAGACTATGACTAAGAAATGAATGTTTTGTCTGGATCAGGAGGCCAGAATCAGATCTCATAAACGTTTGGTTCAAATGTAAAGGAGTACGGGTGATAAGATTGGGCCTTTCATAGGATCCTCCAGGACTGAGTTCCAGAGAAGATGTTCAGTGCTGCCCAATAAATGTTTAGGTGTTGCTGTGTTTCAGATAAGAGTGCTTTATGCATAGCTAGAGAACAAAAAGAAAGTGATGGTAGCTTTGAACTCAAAGCTCTTTGTTCTACGATGGAAGTAAGATAATCAGCTGTAAAAATCTGGATGCCAGCATTCTACCCCAACTCGCTGAGCATTTCGTTGTTAATTTATCCCATTCATTTTTTTGTAATTATTATCTTCACAACATGTTATGACAGCCGCAGCAGATAAACAGGAAATCACTGCCTATTAATCAAATTCACGCAAGACTCAAGAGTTAAAACCAGATGTGTCTCCACAGCACTGAAGAGAACGATAAATTCAGTGCATAAAATATTTTAATATGGTATGCATTATGTTCTAACCAGGGAATATCGACTTTTTTATACTAAATAGCTCCAATAACAACAATAAAAGTCTTATGAAAGTAGAAATATTATCATGTAGAAAAAAGAATGTGGAATGAAGCAAAGATTACTGAAATCAAGCGTAGCGTTAGTTCCCTCTCAGTCGGTCACTCTCGACGTCACGTCGGAGGACCGACGAATATGGATGTGCAGGGAGTTCTTGCCCAGAACAGAACCATACTGCCAATCCAAACTGTATGCTAATTGTCAATCATCTTTGACGATAGTGGTCCTGACAGAAGTAGGCTTTCAAAATTTAACTTCAGAATTGAATGTTTAATTCAATGTGTTACTTGCTGTGTCTTTATAATTATCACATTATTACACAGAGTATTTTAAATAATAATAATAATAATAATAATTTATATTCTAATAATTTCTATAATTCTAATAATGATTAAAAACTCAATATTAAAATCATTCATATTGTGCATTCTTTTTCTTGGGCTATCAGTAGAATATAAATTGTTTTCATCTCAATAATAAAAATAATCATAATTGTGTTTACATGCATAATTATATATAATTCTATAAACACTCGGAAATTAATAAATAACTGCATGAATATAATTGTGCCACATTAACTATACAATTCCCATTTTGCAGTTTCATTCTGGTTTAGAATTGACAAACGAGTGGTTATATATATAAATTCCAGAAATACCTTAGGTGCCTTAAAAATACCTATAATGACCAAAGAATAGCATTTTATTGTAGCCCTTCCAAGAATGCAGTTTGATGTAGTTTCTCTGACCAGCCAGGAAAAGAAGGAAATTGTGTGTTACAACCTACCATATAGGGTTAATGCTGATTAACCACAAGATTAACATTTAGTGACTTCTCTACTAAAACCAACTACTAAAACCCCCTTGCACCAATATAACCTTCAAGCACTTAAGAAATAGAGCTGCATTTCCTTGTCTCTGCCAAAGGCGTTTAGGAGCCTGTTTACCAGGGGCCACTAGGGCCCGTTTATGTCAGGGCCTTGTTGGCCACTGGCTGGCTGCACTAATGGCTGTCTATGTGAGGAATTACGCCATGCCATGACATGGGAACTCCTTGAAAATGTGTCGGGAACCAGCCGCATTAGCA